CCGAAGAGATCGTATCTCGACAGTTCAGCCTGACAAGCTTTCATCAAACAACATCGTCCACCGTCTGGTTGATCATTTTATCCTCTGCCACTCTCAAGGATGGAAAGAGAGTGAAGCTCACTAGTGGGCTGATTCCTCAAAATCCAAAAGGCTCAAACGATTACGCTGGTACCTAGAAAACAATCTGGTAACTTGTGACGATGTCCATTGTCATGCCATCAGTTTCTGGCTCATTTTTATGATCTTGTTCCTGGTGCTCTCTGCGTTCGATTCAAAGGGTTGCACGCAGTGTCACAGTCAGCTCCGTTCGAAACCTCTGTATCTGCCCAGCTATGCGTGAACCCTTATACGCTAATTGTCTACCCAACAGTGAACTCTTGAAACCAAACAACTTTGAGAGAAATAAAGGCAGAGGTGACTGGGTTGGAACCATTGGATCTGAAAGAAGCATTTAAAATGTTGTTCAAAGGAGATTTTGGGAATGAAACGCAAGCAGCGGACTCGGCACCATCCGAGGCCATAATATTCAAACTTGGCATATTATAATATCATTCTTTTGAAGGTTCACCGACGAAGGTCTTTGATGCTCCTCATCTGCCAGACTCTACAGTTCAACAGTTGCGACCATTCACCTAACACTATCAAGGTCTTTGGGACCGTTTGTGTAACTATACCAGCTACTAAATAATCAGCATCAGATATTCAGAGTGACCTGGAACGTACCTGACATTCAAGGAAGATATCTGGGGGTAGGAAAACAACAGATCAACAAAACATAAGTATGCATTTTACTCGGGTGCCCATGATGAAATCTTATCTGTGACCTGACCATACAGAGAGTCCGCACAACTCAAGTGCAGTCGTTAAACCACCATGGGGACTTGGAACATGAGGCTAGATAGGCATCATCCTGCATTATTCTTCAGTACAACGCACAGTTTCTTGTGGATTTACTTTGCTGTTTTCTGGAGGCTCTTTGTGACTTTTTCACACAGGAGTGTATACACTTTCAAATTACGGCGTTCGTGTTAAGGCAAAGTATGTCCATAGTTCGGTTCAGTCAACAGTTTCAACCCCGTTTATTCTGCGAACTTTGAGTTGAGGGACTCAGCAGAACTTTTCATTCAAGGTCACATCCTAACAAGACATCTAACAGATACATATGATATATAACGTATCCACCTACGCTGTTGAACACGAAAATCAACTTGATTAGTCTTTCGGGAAGTGATACGAGCTAGACTCAGCAGTCTACATTTATCCACTAGCTCTACCGATGAGCTTGGGTGGCTTGATCAGGCATCAGTCATCCTGAAATTGACCTTTTCAAGGTCTTTCATTGCCGGAATCACTGAAACATATGTCAGCGCCATGTAATGTCTATGACCGATATGGAGCTGATGGGCTCAATCTCCGTTGGTGCCGTAATACAGCTTTCGCGCTTAGCAATACATGTGACTGTATGGTGATTTACACCGTGAACGAGATATATCCTGTAATGTCAGTGCGATTAGGCGGTTCAACGAAGAGGCACACAGTAACTTGCCTTGGATCGATCATTTGAACTGTCTGCTGAACTGTAGTAGGTTTTAAGATCCGTGCTGGCTTCTGTGAATGGACCACCTCTACGATCAACCCACTCAGCCACGTGACCAGTTGATCACGCATAAGAAACCTGAGGAAATATTGGTACAATTTGCTGCGCACCGATCGCGCGTGCCTGCGTGTGTGTGTGCCTACATATGGGTATGTGTACGTGCGTGTGTATGTGCAAGAGTGCGTGGGTGTGCATGAGTGTGTGGGTGTGAATGCGTGCGTGTGTGTCTCTCTATGTGCTTACCTGCTTGCATGCGTGCCTGCCTGTGTGTGCGCGCTTTTTGTTCAACAAGATGAACTGATTGAGTTTTCCGACACCCCAGTGAAATGCCAGGGGTTTATAGAGGCGAACACAATTAAACAGTTGGATTGTGCAGATTGACCGCTTGTGGATGCTATAGTCCCCGTCACGAAGAGACTGGACCTTACCGTGGTGTGACGGTTTGTGCACCTCGGCGACCCATTGAGCTATACTAAGGGGGGGGGGTCTGTTCGCAGGACACTCGCAGTCTCTCATAGCAGGTTGGTCCATGGGTGGAGGTATGACGAACACAGCCTCCTTGCCCTCCAGGTTGGAGGTAGGAACATGTATGGTGACGTGTCCCGTAAAAATGCTAATGTACTTGGATTTCCAGCCCAACACCGTTGCAATGCGGCTAGGCTTTTGAGCCAAAAGCTTTGGTTGCGCACCCTAATCGTTCTCTTGTCTAGGTGTGGGCGCCCTGACAGTATCCCAGCCCTCGTACTACCATGACATTTACAACGTGGCGTCCCTGCTGTCAGTTTGTTTCCAGATTGTTTGATTGAGCGTTTGGAGGTGTAGGCACCTCAGAACGCTTGACATAGGCCAGCACCAGGTCCCCTCCCTCACCCACTCTTTCTTCTTTTCACTCTAAATCTTTATNTTTGATGATGATGATGATGATGATGGTGATGAGACTATACCTCAAATTGGCGTCCCATTATACATTTATCTTTACCAGGTGCCTTTACAATCCGCAGCCCACCGTTAATCTAAGGATTGCCGGCTGACCAACAACATTCATACATCAGATGTTATAGATCACTCGGTGTTGTCAGGAGGAAATTAAACCATCATTAGTGATTATCTTGGTTCTTGAGGAGGACCCCGAGATCTCAACTAACCACAATAAAGTCAAAATCTGAAAGTTCCAAAACCTCACGTCTATCTCCAAACTGCAAGTGGTATTTCAGAATGTCCCCTAGAAGTGGCACTACAAGCGACGACAGCTATGTTTTTAAGCCTATTAGAAGCCAACGAATAACAGAAGCCTAGTGATTTACCCAGAGCTGAGATATCATTGAAACAGCTCTACAGACTTCGTAATATGTTAGCGAAACGTCAATTGTGGAAAGTCTATTATACCAGTAATAATAAGAACGCTCACAAAATACCTCCCTTATTCAACGAGCATCCCTAAAGTTTCAAAAGGTCTGTAGATTGAATGGATAAATCAATGAATGATGACAGTAAATTACCGACCCAACTACAGCCATCAAATGATTGCTCCCGAAGAAGGCCAGAATAAGTTTGTCCGGTTTGGTCCTTGTAGTGTGGAGCAGAATTTCTTTCAAAGCTTGTGTTTGTTCTGCCTTCTTTCGCGTGTTCTTAGTCACGAAAAAAAGTGAATGCATTTATACAAATTCATTAAACTGTCGGTCCATACCACGCGAATGAATGTAACGTTTTTGTCAATAGCATATTTTCCCATTTGTATCATCAGAAGTCTTGTTTTCACCCGTAACGAGTAGATACATCAGCGGAAAACGATATTAACCCACGCGTTCTGCGAAAAAAAAACAAATTTTACCAACAGTCAAATCATCAAAAGATGAGTATCAATTGTCTACGTTTTGTTTCAGCTCTTTTTCCGCTAGGTCTATTTACATCAATAGTGCTTGCGGCTGACGTTCTACCCAGTTATTAGAGCATCGAGTGAGCCACCGATGTCACTCGCCTGAATAAATTCATTTTGCTTTTCAGTGAAATCGAAACCTGAAAGCACAAGGTCGTATCAAAAAGTTAGCAGAACTTTCATACTCGCTTTTCTTCCAAGCTTCTCACTCCTAAAAGGAACCTCCTTAGGCACTACACTATACTGTGATTTCAACGCCGGGGTAGCCCATCTTGTCGCAATTAGTGAATGACTGGGTTGGTCCACTCCGAAACAATTGGTGACAAAGGTTGGAAACTGATCGTTCTAAGACACATTTTGATATCCATGCCTCCATTCTTATCTGTGGATGGGCATCATCGAGTCACTCGGTTCTAACATCTCCTGCTATCCTCATATCATAATGTTTCACGGCTTAATGGACCGCGAGTTTGATGGAAACCTGAAGCGATTACAAACAGACTGGTTGATACCCCCACCAAGCATACTGAGGAGTCAACACCCTCGAATTTGCTTGGAAATCATTCATTCAAATACTGTTCATACAAGAACTGTTTAGTAGAATACTTAGAGCATACCGTATTTCCGTCTGTGCATCTATAATAAGGGGATGTAAACCACGTGACTGACAGGACCACATTAGAACGAGCAACTGTGCACCACAGACAAACTATCTTCCAATGGAGACGCATTGCAGCAACCTCGAAAAGCGTAAAATCGCGGTCGGCAGACATTGAATACTCTCAGGAAGGTCAACTTCCTGCAAGTAACCCCAGGTTGTCAGGAACCTACTGAGACCCTAAGACTCCACCAAAATCTCAATAGGAAAGCCGGCAAGCATCCAGGCCAGTCAATCATTCAATGAGTCAGTTAAGGAAAGGCACGTTATAGAGGCACGACCGATGTTGGTGGGTGCTTAATAAACGCCTACCAGACAGCCTGGATCAATGTCAGAAAGTGCCCTTTAAATATCGCGTGGTGGATGTAACTTCTGCACTCGCTCGCACATGCTTGTTTGGAATAAAGCTGTTGTGTATACATTTCGGTGAGTTCTTTCTGGCACCAGACACTGGAGTGGGAACAACGGTTAGATAAAACAGATACGAAGGCGCGGTTATCCGATTTTAAACAGGAAAAGACAGCGTTATCAGGCAAACATATATTTGGAGTGAGAAAGCACGGTTATTCACACAGACAGCTAGCGGTGGAATGAAAGTGGGGGACCTTTCGTAATAATCTTAAGATGAAGTTTTCATCAGTTTAGTGGAAAAGATTTTGAGTTTTGAATAACGGTGATTATGAAGGTGCGATTCTTTCGAATCGACTCAAGATTGGAAGGCTGCATTCACTGGCATGTGACAGGCTCCGAATAATCCCTGATCAGTGACAATTTTATTGGTTGATTTTCTAAGGTTTGTTCCCATTGGTTAGCATTGAGACAATGAATATCGAAACGCAACAGGATTAGTTTTACCACTTCACTCTTCTTGCTAACTGAGTGCTGCACTCGACTACGAAATGGACAAAAGGTAAGCTGTCTTTCAGAAAACGGGTCGAAATCATTTCATCACATTCAATAATGGCCAAAATTTTGAAAGTAACCTAGCAGAATTTACGGCAAATTGGCTTACAGCCGGAAGTAGTAAAATATTCCCTTTTTTCAAGATTCCTTTTATTAGCGACTTTTAAAATCTGGTTCTCAGTTTGGAAAGCGAAATGAAGGGAAGCTTTTGGCTTATGGATGCTCCGTCAAAACCAAGATTGATTGAACCAGTCAAGCAAGCACATCTGCATACGACAAGATTTGTAATTAGTCACTTTCGTGTTGATGCATGAGCCAGTCGAAATTTGACAGATCTAGGCCATTGATACACTTCATGTGGTACTCAGTAACCGTGGAAATACTTTCGTGCCTAACGTCTACTGCGGGATGTTCGCTAAGAAACAATTTACCAACACCCAGACTGAGAAGCTTCACCACTGCCCTTGAACTAGATACGCTTAGGAAACTAGTGTTCAATGGGTAGATTATGCAACCTCGGCCAACAGCTGTGACTCTACTGGAACAACTAAACATCCAGGTTTGTCTATTCACAAGACAAATCGCATTGTCGTACCAGTAGTGTATTTATTATCACCAACATCCAGACAGGGATCTACGTGTGGGTGTTAAACAACAACTGTGATTGAGGAAGAGTAATCACGTGACCAATCAGATGCACCAATGAGCCAATAACACTAGGCAGGATCACTTCCTAATCTGCCAGCGTCGTCATTGTTCGTCATCTGGTGTGGAGCGAGCATCGCATCAACCCAGCCACCATATTTGATATGGCGCTCAGCAAATCGAGGAGAGGAGAGTACTGAAACCTGGCGAGATCACTCCTATTAACAAAAAGAATTCGGATCTCTGTAGTCAGAAAAGCAACGTTTTTAGCTTTGGCAAATTGAAAAGCATACATTTGACATTGTAAATTTGTCTTTCTTCATTTGCTCATCATTATAATCTGCAGTAACCGCCTGAGATAGAATGAAATTAACTTAGAATATTGTGTAAATCTGTGCTGTTGGGTTCCAGTTTCAATCATCTATTTCAATCTAATTAACGATAGGACTATTTTAGCACTTATTTGTTGTACAGTGAAAAATCCATTGCCCATGAACAAGACGATATCATTTTTACATGTTGTTTCACCTTCTGTTTGAACAAATTAAGAGCAGACTGTCGATATCATCCTTTCCACTCTCCATGAAAGTGATGAAGCCCGTCTCGGGTCCTCGAGGACACCGCAGAGTTTATGTCCTAGTTGCAGATAAAATTCACCGAAATGATCATCAACGAAAGGAATGTTGCCCTGACATGGCTGCGGAGAGAAGGCCTCACACGGATAAGTTAACCACGACCAGGATGACAAGTCAGTACATGACAGAGTGACGGTGAGACTGGGGCTGGAACACAAATGCGGTATTTTCAGGCCCATGGCTCACAGGAATCTAGAGTAGTGATACCGTATAGAGTGTGAGTGTTTGTACACCTCATCTGAATCTTATCATAGCTGCATTTCGGTTTGAATCCGAAATTTTAATTCAGTTCTCTGGTAGGATTTAGAAAACCTTAGCCCCAGGGGAGCCTCCGCTCCTAATATCAGAGTATAGTGATTAGACAGGCAATCATCCTTTTGCCAGAGGTTTCCAAGAGTTGCATCTGGCCAGCGTTCACCGCCCAGTTTGTGCACCTGTTGAGCTTGATTATGAGTGAACTTGTTGTTCCGACGAGCTACTGACTCAACCAAACGATCAACTCATCACCACTTAAATGTTCTTGCTCTAGTGATTATCAGATCCGATACGAAGACTAATCTGGTGAAATACCTTGTTTTTACTGCAGATGTTATATTATTTTCCAGTCGGAAAGAAATAACACACTGAAATCCAAAGTGTTTGCTCCTGATAACCACTGCCATTTCGGGTTAGAAGTTAGGGGACGGAAACTACCTAATTCAACTTCGAACATGAATAACCAACCCTCATCACTTGTATTCGGACAGTTATTATGTCTTCGTGGTCAGATATTTTTCATAAAGGAAGCTTTTAGCCAGCAACAGCTTCTCTAGGTAAAGTTTGCTTTTCTGTTTGGAACCTTAGATAGACTGAGATCAAAACATTGTTTACATCAGATGTACGAATACAACTGTGATTCGATGGTCCTATCAAGCTACGTGCAAAACCAGGCATTAGAACGATGTTTAACGGCAGTCAGACCAACATACTCGCGTAAATTATTCAGTGGACCTTAAGAGTTACTAAAATTTAAAGGGTTACTTTCGGTGGAGTTGTCTTTCCCCACTTTTCAAGCTGGGCAGACTGGCAACGTACGTCCTATCTCACGGTTTAAAGACAAAGTGAATTTCGAAGATTCTCCACAAAAAGAATTCGAAACCCGTCCGAATAATTCTACAGTACGCCTTGATTAGAGGAAAAACTAGTGTGTGTACCCTTGGACTTGTGCACTTGAAATGTACTGAGTCTCGCACTAAAGATAGAAATTTCTGCGTTTTCATACTTCTGCCCAAATATGAGTCTAAATTTATTGTTTTCACGCTTATTTGGCCACCTTGTTCCCGTTCGTTTTAAGAAGAGGCCAAACCAATGACGAAATTCTCGGAAGACTTGTTAGTATGTCTGCATTCCATCCTTAAATGATCCCCAGATATACTTCTGATGTAACAATGTTTTGAAATCTGGCTTGATTGGCAACTCCCTGCATCGGTTACCGTGACTGAAATCTTAAAATTGGACGAGGGACAGGGCGTACACTGGAAGCGGAGTTATTTTCGGAAGCTACTTTTTTTGAGAAAGGTTTTCATGGTATTGGAGAACTTCTAGTGACTTTCGATTTGACGAAACTTCGAAGTAAACGAAACCGGAGAAAAAGCATCCTATCATAATGGCAGTGATCTATGCTTTCGTCTCACAAAACCGCTTTGTTTGTACAGTAAAAGAGTTGTGGTGCCTAAGGTGATTCGGACCAGAACGACGTTTAATTTTTTTTTGTTTGATGAACCCAGTTGTGCAATTCCGATACAGCAACTGATAACACCTTTTGGCTCTAGGTTTTTCGTTTGCTGCTATTACCATCACCTCATAGTGTGCATCCAGATGGATCCTTATACATACCGGTTTAACGATTTTCAAGTTTATGAAACAACGGATTAGACTCTGTTCTGAGTACAATAGATAAAAACGGAATGATATGGCGAGGTATATCTCTCAGACTAGTATGCGAGGTTGGAGTATGGTTTCCGTAGGCGGTGCACAGCGGAATATGAGGTTCACTGGTGTACAGCTAAGTCTGACAGACGTTTGCGAAGTAATTTCATTAATAAGCCCCAGATAGTGATCAGCTAGAGATTTTGTCGGACTAGAGGGTAGTACTGAAACAGGCCTTTTTATCTCCATCAATGGAAAGCAATCTGTTTTGGTTCACCGGATAGCTATGGGTTAGTAGTAATAGGTGGTCACACAGGAGAGGTAGTTTAGATTTTTATGAGGATATTGCACGTTTTCGAATATTCCCCCTGTATCCCAGGAGAAGATTTTGTTTTAGTGCGGAAGCTCAATATCCGTCTTAATGGAGCCATCTCTTTACCAAATGCAGTAGACAATAGGGGTTCTCGGTTGTTTTGACCAATCTTATCGTGCCGTACGTATCGACACAACATCCCATCATTTAACCACAAAAACATGAAATTCTGTTTCATTTTACTACTGTACATACAATTTTTAGGAGCGGTAGTTTACCCAATCAACGTCATCCGGGGTTGCCAATTCCCAAACCATTCGCACGCAAACAGCTTTAATACGCGGTCGGCAAACACACCCAGCTGTGACGTAACTGACAAAACAATAAGCAATTGTATGTCCTCTAGTTTGAGGTGATACACCGAAAGTGGTGGACTCAATAAAGTGCTAATGCTTTTGTCCTGATTAAGTTGCATCAAGTAAAAATGAATTTCGCCGAATTTCCCGGGTTTTTATTCTGGACTTGATACAAAATTTAAAACAAGCCGTCTGTTTGCGACTGTAGTGTGGATTTTACCCGATCTCGATACCGTTCAACATAGTCTCCAAACGTTCTTTCTTTTGGTTTCGGTCCACCTATTTAACGTGCATTTTGTTAAAATCGCTTTTCCTTACTTTAGTCCGAAGATGTGATCTGGAGAGGCTGGGGAACAGTACAGGTTTGCATAGTGTATTCCATTGAATATTATGCACTCAATCCATTGTTGCCACAATACCCATGGACGTTACTCGGTGATGACGTGAGGCGCCTTCGTGTCGATAAACCGGTTGTTACAAGCGGGTCATTATCCTCGTTTCAGTAGCCTTGACAAGTGTTGTCTGGTTTGAGATTTTGAAACATTTTTACTTGTAATTGGTTCATTGATGCTTTGACTGCAATGAATTTCGGTGACTGTGGTGTAAGGAATGCAAATACGGTTTCACAACAAGCATTCCTTCAAGGAATGATGATACGATCGAGTCGCCAAAGTGCACTGACTTTGTGAGCGATCACTGAATTATGGACTCATTTGGGATATAGTTCTGTCTGCTTGTACCCACGAATGATACGCATGCACTGTATTCGCCTGAGTCAGGAACTTGGGAAAAAGAACAAAGAGGTAAGAAATCTCTCGAGTTCTTGAAAAACTGCTTTGATTGACCAGAAAATAAGTCTGTGTTTTCAAATTATGTTGCCCTAGGATATATAGGTGAGTGTTGTGGCGTACAGATTCACGTCACCAAATATACTGGGATCATATTGCAATATTTTAGAAAGAACATGATCTTAAAAAGTTTCTTTCTTCAGGTTTTCGACTTCTTTCCTGACGACTCTTTCAGCAAATTGAAAATTTAGATAAAGGCTTATAACAAAACACCGAATATCCGTTAGAAAATATCTAGCTAGTCTTATTCGACACACCGTAGTCGACCGAATGCTGGCAACTGCTCGACTTGTGGATGGTAC